TCAAAATTTAGTAGACCACATAATTTGGCTTTTTAAAAATGTTTCTGTAATGGCTACCATTTATTTTTATTTTTTTATTTTTTATTTTTTGGTTTTTCGAGACAGAGTTTCTCTGTGTAGCTTTGTGCCTTTCCTGGAACTCCCTCTGTAGTCCAGGCTGGCCTCGAACTAACAGAGATCCGCTTGCCTCTGCTTCCCGAATTGCTGGGATTAAAGGCGTGGACCACCACCGCCCAGCAATGGCTACCATTTATTAAAGTTAATCTTGTCTCAGCCAATACGCAAATGATTATGGTGGCCCTGATAGTTGATCGTGATCAACTTTATGGGGTTTAGAAATACTATGGAAACAAATCTCTGGGAATGCCTGTGATGGGTTTAACTGATGTGATAAGAACTATCCTAACTGAGGGCAGCACTGTTCCATGGGCTCCAGTCCCCATCTGAATGAACAGGAGAAAGGATGCTGAGGAGTTAGTTGCATTCAACTCTCTCTGCTTCCTGACCACAGCCACAATCTGAGTCGCCACCTCACATTCCTGCAGCCATGCTCTGCTTGCCACGATGGAACATACTCTCAAACCGTGAACCAAAATAAAGACTTCCTTCCCTAACCTTGCTTCTGGCAGGTATTTTATTACAGCAATGGACACAAAGTAATCCAATGGGGACCACTATCTCTTCCATTGTACTGACAGGAAAACTGAAGCCCTAGAGGGTAACATCCCCCAAGTACGTGAGACAGCTGTAAAACAAAATGTTGAACCTAGGCTAATCTCAAAGTCACTATGCTCCCATAGTTTAAAGAATTCAGAACTTATTTTGAAAAATATTAAGCTGTCTGAGGGTTAAAAACGTGCTCCCTATGTTAGCCCAGGTAGGCCTTAAACTCACTTAAAGTCAGTCTCCCTCATGCTGAAATTACAGGCACATGTACCATGCCTGACAAACTACCTGATTTTATGGTACCCTTCCTTTCTTCTTATTCCATCCATATAAACTTTAATAGGTATACTCTCTTTATTGCTTCTTCTTCTTCTTCTTAATGTTTAATAATAATGTGAAATGCTCAGGCGATCCTAGAAAACTTGTGCTTCTCTTTCTGGCTTTCACCAGAAATACAGTAGATGCCTGCAGGGCCGCAAATTGCATATCTCCAACTTGCTAATCTTCTTCCTTCTCTTACTATACAAGTGGCTTGCCTTTCTTGAGAATTCTAAAGTCCCACTTTATTTAATCCAAACATAAATGTTTGCAAGCTTTAGCTTGGAGGAGAAAAATGAGTGAGAATATAGTTTCTCAGAGATCCAGTTTACTTTTATAGAGCAGGAATGGATCCATGCAACACATTTTTGTCTCCAGAAACTCTGCCAGACTTAGTATAGTCTGGTTCATTAGAAATATATAATAAAATATTCTTCACAACTCAGTCCTTCAAGTTCACTTTGATCAATACTTCATTACCTAAGTTAGAGCTGCCAAAGGGGGCAAACTTGTCAGCCCATTTGTCCCATATTTGCATGAATATTATGCTGTGAATGTTACGCTCCTTTGAACTTCAAAAGAGCTTCCTGGCCTCATTGACTACAACTTTAACAACAGAGCATAATGGAGTTATAGAAAGATCTTTTCCTGGCTAAAGACCTCAAACTTTGCTGGTGCTGGACAGTAGCAAACTTTTACATAAGCAACAAATGGCTCATTCATCCATTGCAGTGCACTATCAGTATTTCCTGGTGTCCTTAGCCTGTCTTCCTACAACTATGGCTAATTAGCTAGAAGCAAATGGCAACATGGGCCTTCACCACTCCTTGTAAAAAGAGTTTCCTGCATACAAAGCATTTTTTCCTAAAATTGTTCATGTTTCCACAACAATTGATAGAAAAGCTTTCACCATAAGGGTACCTCACATGCATCCTATCCTGGTTGTTCCAGATAGGAGAGCAAACATGCTCCTGGACTTAGAAGAGTCTAATACTAACCAGCACCTGAAAAATCAAAAACTGAGGCTTCCTAATGAAAATGGAGACAGACAGTATGAACAGATGAAAAGTTTTAACACTTCTATATTTGTACATTTTCTCAGCTCTATAAAATTTAAAAATAACCCTCCTTTTCATATACTCCTATGCCTTCTTTTCTCTTGTACTAGACAGTAAAATGTAAAATATGTCTCTTCACTTTGAATAACTTTTTCCCTTTTAAAAATAGTAATTTCTACTTGTAGAAATTCTGGAATAGATAATATAAAAGGATCATAAACAGTTCTTACAAATCTACTATCCAGAGACTTAAAAAGTAATTCGCTATTGCATCCCATATATGAGTCTAAATTTCACATGAAACAAAGATCTATGGATAAACTCCAGAATAAAATACAAAAATATATGGTGGGCGAGACCTTCCAGGAAATTCAGTAGCCACAGAGGAAAGGAATACAGATCTGACCACCCAGACTTTTAAAACTGATATACAAATACAGTTTGCACAAGCAATATAACAAATAGCTAGTTATAATAACAAAAAGCTAGTAAGAAAAACATGTAATTAAGAAGTCTAATTAAAACAAAATGTATTGAAAAGGTCACATAGGAATAGGAAAATACTAAGGCAAAAATGAAATATAATTTCTACAATTAAGATGATTCTCCAATATAAAGATTAATGACACTTTTGGTAAAGGAATTATAAATGGACATTCACACAGGTAGTAGCAACTTAATGAAGAACAGTTTGATAGCAGTAGTCAAGATAAAAACTGAAAATACCCTTTGACTAAAAATTCCTCACCAATATGTCCATTAGCATCTAAAGGGTTTCACTAATGCCCTTAATTTGTAATGTCAAAAACTAGAAACAACATATGTACCTACAAACAGAAGATGGTTAAACAACAGAACATACATGCAGTTGAAAATAATGTAGGTACTAGAAAGACAACACATTGTTATTAAGAAATGTTTTAACATGACCTGGAAGGTTATCATGTATATATTTATCTTTGTGAGATACAATTTAGGAAAAAAAATTATAGGGCCATTAATTTTTCAAAAAAAGATGAATTTTAACACAGCACTTGGATCATTTATGGAACATTCTCCATTGGATTGTTATTTCCACTGCTTCTAATTTGGCATTGCTAGGGCATCAACATAAATATCTGTGCATGAACACTTGCATGTGTTCAGGCAACATACGTGAAGCATATGCTATGAAACTTCCTCTTTAATAATGGTAATATTTCACATATCTTTGATTTGGGTGTGGCCAGATGAAATGTCAATAAAGAATGACCACGATGGTGGTCTCACCATCTAGCCATAATCTGAAATATTAGATCAAAACCAGTGCCTTTGGCCATCTGTTACATAATTACTTTGACACCAACCAAATATTCAAATGGCTTAGGACATAATAGGCATAAGGAAACATTAGAGAGTATCAGTTTAGGGCTCATGAATCATTTTTCTTTGCTTTGTTAACAAAGCTCTAAATTTTATGGATGATATTCCTTAATGCTTTGTAAGTATGGAAGATCTCCAAGAAGAGATGGTCTATTGAGAATGACAATACTCCCCCTGAGGCCATCAGCAACGTGGCTATACGGGAAGTGTCTTTCTAAGAGAAGGGGAATTTTTAATCCCCACTGATTGTGAACTGATTCAAGAAGGAACAAACAACATTTCTATCACATGCACTTAAATCAGAGGAGAGTGTTCTGATATGGACTACTCTGTGATGGGAGGAAAAGTGGGTAATGTGAGAAGTACAGGGGAGAGGTTGATTCATGTTTTCTTTCAGAGCCTGCCCCCCACTTATCTTCCATTTATGCCTCAGTCATGCTAGATATCACTATAGATCACTGATGCTTAAGTTCCTTATCAAATGCACTTTTTTCTCCCAGGAAGAAGACCGCTTGCTGTGAAAATCATTGTGGGACAGAAACACTCTTAATGATAGAATAGGCTTGCTTCTGCCCTCCATGTCAACACGCCTTCTGCCTCCCATATTTAACTCTATGTATAGAAGAGATAAATGTTTATCTCTTGATAGAATTGAGATGCTGCTACAGCTCTCAGCAAGAACATTGTACAGTTCTTTCTCATGAATAAGTTCAGTGGAGCACAGAATATGCCCCTGTTGGACCAATTCCACTTTGTGCTTCTTCTTCTTTTTTAATGTAGCTCTAAAAAGGAATGGAAGCTCAGTTTCCCCCTCAAATTTAGAGCAAGGGTCCACCTCAGAAGTGGCTGCAAGTGTCCAAAAGAAGTTGAGGCCCACACTGTTCAAATGCAGCAGAGGGCTTGCAATAAGAACAGATATGTCAGTGGCAGCAAGGGCGGTGGGGTGGGTAATTACACTTCACACACTCCCAGGCTTCTTGCTTGCTACCCTCTGTTTTCTCTAAGGTGTTAGCCCATTTGAATCGCTGATTTTTTTTTTTTTTTAGAATTTTCCCTGGGTTTGTGTGGACATTCCTTTCAATAAAATGACATCTAATTTCCTAACAGTTCTTGGAAGCTAAATTTCATCACTGGGTCTGAATCCAGTTCCTTCATTGATTTTTCAGTATTAGGAATATGCAAGGCTGGCCTTTCTTTGCTTTTTTGTTTTGTTTTTTATTTTACTCTTTTTCATAAACTAAAACCTTCACTGAAGAGTCTGAAAATGGGAAAAAGTCCAGCTCATCTGTCAGATATTTCTAGAATTACGTAAAACGGAATGATATTCGTACAGTTGAGAACAGGAAAGTGAAAATGTGTCATGTGTTCTTTGAGATGAAAACTATACGATAATCAGAAAAACAGCTTCAAGTTTAGCTGGCGTGATTCAAAGTTCTCATTCTTTTATAAATTCATGCATAAATCAGTAACAGTTACTTTCTTCTCCTACAACAATTCCACGGCCACATTTGAGCTAATCATAACCCCTACAGATTATAACCACAGGTTCAAAGATGTGATGAATATGAGATTTTTTTTTAAGTGCAAGACACTTACGTTTTACTTGCTCTGTTTTGCTTCCTTCTAGGAAAATAAAGAACAAAAACAAGGAGACTATATATTTCATGCCTCCCATTTTCCACTTTCTTCTCATTTGAGTTACTGCAAAATGCAATTCAGAGACTCCGAGGAGTGATGGACGAAACCTGTTGAGAAGAAAGCAGAAAGAAGTAATAAGAGCAGATAGATCCCTTGGAACTGATGAACATGAGTGATATTTAAGTTTCTAACTTGCTAGAAAAAATACTGAAGAATATACTGGAGTGTAAGCATTGTTTGTAGAGGACAAAGGACTTGCCTCGTCTGTCTTGTAAAGATTATGGGAGGAAATTCACATGAGTTAAGTACATATTCCTCTCCAACACTGAAGCTAAATCATAGGAAAATACAAAGAAAACTGGAAATCTTTTCTAAAGAAATTAAAATTGATTTCTCAGGACATTTTATTGTTGGCGGGTGGGGGTAGAGAATCTGGAAATTGCAGTTTATAAAAAGGTTATTTTGGCAAAGGATGTGCAAATTGAGAGCATTTGACTGCAATGATGTCTGAAATGCAAGCTTAGTAGTTTTAGCTTCAGACTAATGTTATCATTAATCCTTTAAGGATCCTTCCTCAATCAGTGTTTCTCTTGTATCTTCTATGATATCTAAAATAATCTTCACTATGAGTGCTTATGTTGGAAAAGATAGATGTAATCTGATAATGGATGCAATTCAACATCTAAGAAGTTTCATTGCTTAGAACAGTTCAGACATATTCCTTCCCATGAAGTCCATTGTGAAAGGAAATGCAAAATGGGTAATTTTAAAAGAAAATAAGCAAATTTCAACAGCGATTCATTCAATTTGTCCCACCACACAAGAGGCTGTTAAAACAACCACAATTCTTTAAAAATAGGCATTGGTGGGCAGGATTGAAATCTTAAGCTTTTGAAGCCTTAAAACAGAAAATTTGCTTGCATCCTGTCACAACTATTTTCTGTGGACTTTAGAGTTTACAAATTCTTCCAACAGGAGATTGGAAAATATTTAAATATTTTGGAAGCACTGCATTCAATCCGGGGTTAATCCTGAATAGGAACTTCAGCATGGTGATGTTTTCAGAGAATCCAGTGTAAATATTGAGCATAAACTACTTATTTGAAGGAAAAAAGTGCAAGATGAGCACTTTGGAGAACTGAATCTCTTGGAGTTCTAAAGTGGATGTCACAGCTTTTACTTTAAATGCTATGAAACGGCCATGATCATTAAAAAATCCGTTGTTTCTGCCCAGCCTCGGGGTGCATGCTTGTAATCCCAGCAGGCAGATGCATGAGAATCACTCCAAGTTCAAGGCCAGTAGGGCTACACAGGGATACTTTGTAAAAAAAAAAAATGTTGCAGATTATAAACACATGCACACCTGAGAACGAACTGATCCTAGAGAATGATTTGTGCTATCAGGTCGGTTTGTAGCACCCACCTACTTTCTTTCTCTGCTCTCTTAGCACATTATGAAAGGTTCTAGTTCTTCTGGGGTGTGTTCCTAGCCTGGCTGAAGCCTCAATTCTGATGCTTTCATCTGTTCTGTGGTTTTCCAATCCACTTTCAGTCATTTAGAACATCACTATACATTGAGAGCTACTAGATCCCTTTGAAAGAAAGCATTTTCATTAACAGTTTAACACAGCCACCCACCTCAACAGAGTTCTTCCTGAACCTACTTTAATAAGCTTTTTCCTCTGAGCCTCCAAAAGACAAAGATTTTTAACTGTTGAAATCTAATTTATCACAATCATATATGGCTCTCAGGAGGTACTTCTGAAACCCTGGCTTTTGAGTCTCCCCATGCAAGAATCAACGGGGTTGTTTTTCTTGTACAATGGTTGGGCGATTTGGTGAACAGTAGCATTGCTTCATAACTCAAGCTGGCAAGAAAATGGCCCTTAGAATTTTTGCTTTTCTTGGGTCCCAACTAATGTTATGAGCAAACAGGAAAGTTGGTGACTAGAGAGCAATTAATCTCTTTTGGCATTCCTGTCATCTATGTGGCCTCCCAGGAGGTGATGGAGTACATCAGAAAATGAATCGTTTTATAAATATTCACTTATGATTTACAAGATCCTGAAGTCTTGCCTTTGTATTTTGTGCAGAAATATGAACTGAAAAAGAGTTCTCTTCCCGGGGCTCTTCATTATTCTATTTCTCTTTATTTCTTTACCTTTCAATTTTGGGGCAGGAGGTTGTAGACGACATTTGTTGGGACTACAGCAAGAAACAAAAGCATCAGTCAGGAATCATCCAATTCTTATTCCTCCAAAGAGCCAAAGTGTCCCTAATTTTTCAAATTATACTTTGAGCCAGTTAACTGGAGTTATTTCTGCATTAACTCTCTGCTTCACGCAGACTGCTGTGCCATTGGGCTTGTACTGGCTCTTTTGACAGGTTACTTAGAAATGTAACCACTGCTATGGGAGAGTGGGGGCGGAGGATCCAGGACCCAAGAAGAAAAGAACAAAGAAAACAAAACCCTGCAAGTAACCCCGGCGGGGAGGATGAGGTGGGAGAGTGTGTGGGTTGTCTATGAGATGCAGACATGTGTCAAATACCCAGGGCAAGGCATCTATTCAGGTGCCTCTAGGAAACCAGTGTTCACGTTGCTCATTTGCATCAAGCAAAGAGACCAACTGCTCCTTGCTCAGCTTTAACTGCACGACCATGTGGGCCCACTCTCAAAACAGGTCTCCTGAGCAGAACAGACCCAGAGACATCTCTAAAGAAAAGCCAACCGATATAGAGCTGCCAGGCAGCACTTCACCCCTGACAGTGTCTCTCTAATGCTCAGGGGGAAGCTTGACTGACCTTGTGATTTCAGTCAATATCATCTGTGGGACTTCCCCTTGGGTAGCAATATTCTTTCGGACAAACAATAAGAAAGACACTGGAGACTTCCGGTCCTTGTCCATTAGTTGAAATCCTCTTGCCACACTACCACCCAACAACAAAAGCTCAGTTAACTCCTGGTGGGTTACCAAAGAAGGATGGAAGTTAGAGTCCAAGGTATCTCTTTTCGGAGGCAGAGACTTCATCACTGCTTATGACTAAGAACCCCTCGTTTTTGGGCTTATAAAACACCTTCTGACCTAGCATTGCATTTTGCTCCATACAATTATACCTTCAAACTCGGGGGAGTGCAGTGGAGAGAGAAGGAAATCAGAGTTGAGTTAGTGGCAGGGCTGGAAGGTAGGTTTTCCAGGCCCTGAAATCTAGCAATCCTACTTTGTTTCCGAAGCCTAGTGTCTCAAACCCTGATCCCAGAAGTCTGGGCCTGAAAAAGAAAGGGGCAGGGGAGAGAAGATGGCCAGAAGAGACAGGAGCCTCTCCTCCACCCACCCTGTTTCACTAACTTACTGTGAATCAGTCCACAGCACTTCACTAAAGGAGCAAAAAGGGCGCTTTCCTGCACATATGTAGTCATAAAGCAAAGCCCAAAAACCTGTAGGTAGCTTGGCAGGGAGTGCCTGTACTGCCTTTGGGAGCCTAAGAAGTACCAGAGCAGGCCGCACAGGGAACAGCAAGTTACAGGTTCAAATCTCCAGTCTCCAGGCTATTTCATGAAGTATCTAGAGTTCTACCTTTATTCCATCAGCAGAACCATAGGACTGGTTGGAATGGCAAGTCCCACAGTTCAAGGTGTCCTGTGGGAACGTCTAGGGGTAGTTCCAGCCAACAGAATGCACCCCACCTGTGAAAAGGTAGGAAAGCGAGTCAGGGGTCGGGGGTAAAGGCGGTAGGGCACTGCTTACTGACCTGGGCACTGGCCTCCTCCTTCTGCCACGCTTGCACACGGCTCTGAGTTCCCTGGGGCGCTCCTCCGAGGTCTGGGGCTCGCAGGTTGTGGCGAGAGCTTGAGTGCGCGCGAAGGGGGAGGGGGGACTCAAAAGTGGGTGGGAGGAAAAACATCACCGCCCTCGCACCACGAGGGAGCAGAGGCTCGCTTGGCTCCAGGGGGCAGAGCCAAGGCGCGGGCGCGGCGGCCCGGGGCCACCTGCCCGCCCGCCTGTCCGCTCCCCACTTGGCCGAGCAGCCTGGCGCTGGCGGGAAGTCCTCCAGCAAGCAGCTCAGCCCCTGCTAGCACGCACTCCTTCTTGGTCCAGGCACCGGGCTTTATTCCTACACCCCAGACCTGAAAGTTACAAAACGGGGAGAAAGTGTGAGGCTCAGCCGGCACTTTCCCATCACGCAGCGCCCCCACCACACACCCCTCCTTTGGCTAGTAGAACGTTGGGGTCTTAAAGGGACCGCACATCTTCTGCAGCCCATCCTCCCCGTTTGCATTGGATGCTCTGAAGAGCTCCCCACCTCTGGTGAATGTCCTGATAACTATCCATGGATCCTCTGCCTGGATGCCCCAAACCTTCTCTCATGCTGGGCAAGGACCCTCTGCACCTGGTCTGTTCCCGAGCCTGAGATCTGTGTGCAAGTTGAACCGACCTCACAAATTATGCCCTAGGACACATCTTATCATTTCTGGCCATTTCTCATATCTTTGCTGTGTCAAGTGACAAAGGCTTGATGTTTGTACGGGGGTGATGAGGATAAGGGTTAAGGGAGGGGGGCTAAGGAGAACTCAGAAACCTCGCTTCTGCCACAAAGAGATCGATCTCCTAATCTCCGAGGGAGTGCGGGGGGGTGGGGGGAGTGTATAACTGTTAAATATTTTGAAAGAAAAAAAAAGTTGAAGTGGCCCATCACCACCACTATTTTAGCAGTCCTGCAGATTTTATATTGGACTAAGGGCCTGATTTTCAAAAATCCCAACAGCACCTCTGAGTAGTGTTTCTGGAGCTGGCAGACACACTACTCCTGATGTGTGTTTATGTGACGAACTAGTTATAGAGGCTCATCAGAATCGTCGAAAACTCACGGAAGCACATTCTTGACAGACAATACCCATCTGTACTTTTAAGTGCCCAAATTTGGAGGAGAGTTGAAGGATGTTTTGATGTAATTGAATAATACTGATATTCTAAACATCCGTGCTCCACTTTATGGCTTATAGTGTACATTCAATGCACGACATCAACATTTGTTTTTAAAACCCTTACACTTTCCATAATCTAAACTATCAGTGGTCTCAATTATGAGGTGCTGGGGACCTTCTGTGCCATCAGATCAACCTCTTCATTCACAGAAGTGGAAACTGATACTAGCAGTGGATGTATCCAAGGTCACTCAGCTAGTGAATGACATTTTTGAGATTCTAATTCATATATCCTAATTGTTAACTCATTGCACTCTATTATCTCCAGTCTATAGAATGGAAATACAACTGACGCTCAATGAAATTGTATTTAGCCAAAAGCAAGCAAGCAGAGAAACAAACAAAAACCCACATATTGGGAGCAAAGAACAAATGAAAATTGAAACAAGAATAATTGTCCTAGGAAGGAACCCTCTTTTTCTACCAACTTAAGCACTAATATCATTCAGCCAGGCCTGGCATTGCTGGAGATGTTTACTTCATTGTTAACAAAAGAGAGATGCCCTTTCTGAGATGTCTTGGGGGATTAAAATGTCTAGCTCCAGTCTGTAGCCATACTTCTGTAGCCATATGTCGCCACATGCATTCAATTTGGCTGTAGTAATTAGCTTGAACTTGGAGATTTGTTGCCTTATAACTGTTTCTGTGCCATTTAATGTGCTGATATTTTGTGTCACTAAATAGAGTTCTTCAAGGGCTAGAACTGGTTGGTTTCCTTTGTGTGTGTGCTCCAACTCCCAACATCCTTTCCAACCTCATCTAGCTGGCTAAAACCACTCACCCCTGCTGGTAGATATAGTATCTAGATTACTGCATGATAAATCATCTCCACACTTAGTGGCTTAAAGCAAGTTATCATTGTCAATTGGTTCTACTTAATTAGTTCTATTGAATCCACTCAAGATCGTTTATACATTTTTTGGCAACAGTAAATGTGGCTGCTGTAATTCCTTGAGCAATTCTTTATTAGTATAAATGTTGTGGTCCTTGTTTTAGCTCTGGTCTTAATTCTTGAATTGCAACTGTACTTTAGGCAAATGAAAATGTAGCTTTCCTACCAGTTCTTTTCCAACTTAAGCTGATGACTGGCTACACTCTTTATTTTCTCTATTTAGTAAATGAAAATGGGATCACAAATAATCTCATACTTTAGACCTTTTGTTTTCTATATGATTGTTGATTCATTTTCAGCTGTAAGAAATTATTCAGAAGGATCCAGAATCACATACTTTGCCCTCATAGTAAATATCATGCATAACTATAGTATATCATCACAGTCCAAAATTGATATTTTGACATTCCTTCACCTTATACTGTTTTCATCAGTTTTAAATGTAGTTATTTACCTGGTGTGCAGTTCTATGAAATTTTATAGCTGTAGATTCAAATCACCACCACCACAGTGAAGATGTAGAACACTGCCACCACCACAATGATTCTGTTATTATTGTCAATCACACTATCTTCTTCCCTCCTACACCTGTTCTTCATGTCAATAATTTTATCACTGAAGAATGTTACATGGAATCATACAGTATGCAACCTTTTGAAAGTAGATTTTCCCCCAAGGTGATCTTCTAGAAGCAAATTCATGTTATTCTACCTATCAATAGCCTGATTTTTTTATAGTTGCACAAAATTCTATGATACAGTTATATTTGTGTGATCACTCATTGAAGGGCCGATTTATCTACAATTTTTGCATAAACAATATTACATTGCTCTAGGATAAATGGCCAACAGTAAATTCTTGTTTGTTTGGCAGCTGCACATATAATTTCATAAGAACTGCCTAACTCTTTTTAGAGCAACTGTACTTTTTTGTTTAATATTCCCATTGCCTGTGTATGTGAGATACAACTTATGTGCATTTCTGCCAGCATTTCCTGCTGCTATTATTTTTATTTATTTATTTATTTATTTATTTATTTATTTATTTATTTATTTATTCTAGTAGATGTGTACTTATTCTAATTTTGGTTTTAATTGTGTCTCCCTAATATCTAATGATATTTTTGTCTTTTTGTTTTTCTTCTTTAAGATTTAACACCATTTTGTAGCTCACTCTGACCTCAAACTTACGTTCCTCTTGCTTTAATTTCCAAAGCACTAAAGTCATAGCTATGCATCATGAAAGCTGACTATAATGTCTAATGATATCTATCATCCTGTCATGTGATTACTTGACATTTGTATACCTCTGCGAATATTTTTCCTAGTCTGTAGCTTATCTTCTCTTTTCATAAACTTTTACAGATATAATGGGTTTCTTATAAGGATGTGTATGTGTGGTATGCATGTATGTGTGTGTGTGTGTGTGTGTTTTCATGTATACGTGTGCTCACATGTGTGTGCATGCATTTGAGAGTATATGTGTATAGGGTCCTGAGGTTGATATCAGGAGTCTTAATCACTCGCTACCTTGTTCATTGAGAGAAGATCTCTTGATTGAACCCACGGCTCACCCACACAACTGTTCTGACTTCTCTGTGTACATCATTGATCTATGTGTCTATCCTTCTAGCAGCCTTGACTACTGTATACAGAGTAGAGGGATTAATATAATGAAAATAGCTCCTCTCACTTTCTTCTTCTTCAATAATGTTTTAGCTAACCAAGGTCCCATGTATTTCAATATAAACTTCAAAATAAAGTTATCTATGTTTACAAAAATACTTACTGGGATCTGAATAGGAATTCCATGAAACCTAAAGATCAGTTTAGAAAGGACTGGCAAATTTAATTCATTTTGTGTTCTGTGTTCTATGTCATGAATGCTGCATACCTCTGCATTTATTTAAAATACGTCTTAAATGGAAATAGAATTAGATCACCCCCCTTTCCCTCCCTCCACTCCTTCCTAGCTGCTCTCACTCAAACCCCTCCCATGTCTCCCCACTTTCAAGTTGATAATTCTTTTTCTTCATAGTTGTTACATACATATACATGCATACACACACACACACACACACACACACACACACACACACACACACACACACACACACATATATATATAAAACTTGCTGAGTCAATTTTTGTTATTTGTGTATATATGGGTTCAAGGCTTGCCACTCTGCGTTGGGTAACTAATAATGGGGCCCAGGCCTGGAAGAGGCTAATTTCCCTCCCAGAAGTTGTTAGATGTCTGTAGCTCTTTTTCTAGAGGTGGGTCCCAACAAAATTTCCACCATGTTAGCAAAACCACTGATATTGTCACTGTTCACTTCTTGTTTATGTAGCCATTTCCAAGAAAGAGAGTCTCACAGCAGACTTCCTGGTATTCTGGCTCTTACAATCTTTCTGCCATCTCTTCCAAGATGTTCTAAGTCATAGATACAGAAGCTATGATGTAGATGCATCTGTAGGGTTTAGGCTCCTCACAAACTGTTGATATCTGCATTATGTCCAGTTGTGAGTTTTTGTAATGGTTTTCATTTGCTGTAAAGAGAGACTTCTTTCATGAGATGTGATAGCTACACTTACCTGTGGGTATAAGGATAAGGTTTAGAATGTAGTAAGGAATTATGCTGGTCTCCTTTTTCTTCATTTTTAGTACCTTGCACATTTCAGCATAAATCTCATGTACATATCTTGCTAGAGTCATATATATGTATAATTTTCCCTGAAGAATTATGAATATCATTGTGCTTTAAGCTCAGTTTCCATATGTTCACTGCTAGTGTTTATAAATGCAATTGGTAACATTGCTAATCTACAAATGTCAGCTTATGCTAGGAAGGATGTGGAGTAAGGGCAATATTCCTCCATTGCTAATGGGAGTGCAAACTTTTACAGCCACTTTGGAAATAAATATGGCAGTTTCTTAGAAAATTGGGGATCAATCTACCTCAAGACCTAGTGATACCACTCTTGGGTATATACCTAAAGGATGTTCTATCAAACCACAAGGA